TATTTTTGTGTGAGTGTACCGTCAAATCAGATCTGACTGGTACAGGAGGAGATTATTCCTCCTTTTCCCGGCAGAGCATCTGGTGGATTTGAACCGTGTGCCTCTGGGATTGTAGTTGCAGCTCCTTGCCACTAGGCCACCAGAGCTCCCCGTTGGAAGACTTTTTATGTTGTGGATTAGGACGACTAAAGTTCTTCCAAGCTTTTCTTTAATGAAGTTTATAGTCCTTGGTTTTAGTCCTAGGTCCATGATCCACCTTGAATTGGTTTTTGTGTATGGAGTGAGGTGTGGATCTTGTTTGAGTCTTCTGCAGACAGCTTTCCAATTTTGCCAGCACCATTTGTTAAAAAGGCTGTAATTTCCCCACTTAACTGATTTCATCTCCTTGTCAAAAATTAGTTGACCATAGGTAGATGGGCTGATTTCTGGTTTCTCAATTCTATTCCATTGATCTATGTGTCTGTCATTGTACCAGTACCATGCTGTCTTAACCACCATGGCAGTGTAGTAGGATTTCTTTTTTCTATATTTAAGGAGTGCTTTGCTTATTCGGGGTTTCTTTCTATTCCAAATGAAACTGGAGATTACCTTTTCCATCTCCTTGAAGAATGGGATTGGTATTTGTATTGGGATTGCATTGAACGTGTAAATTTCAAGGTTGTAATTTTTAGGAACTGCCACATCTTCTTCTCTAGAGAAGCTCATAGTTTGATTCTCTGACTGTTAAATGAGCAGCCCAACGCTTAGCTCACTTTGCTACCAAGAATTCCCTATCACTTTTTTCTTTTTTTAAAAAAATCAAACTCAATGACTTCAAGTTATTCTTACTCATAGTTTCTCACTGGACTGAGTAGGACTGCCCATAGTTATCCAAGGTCGTAAGTTCTTTCTGAAGTAATTTGATGTATCTTTCTTCCGAGGAAGGACTGCTGGTGGGTTCAAACCACCTGGCCTTAGAGTTATCAGTCCAGAGCTTAACCACTATACCACAAGAACTCCTCCCCTACACAGAACATTAAAAACCAAAAACCCCCTAACTCATTGCTGTGGTTTCAGAGGCAAGGACAGACCAGCTGGTGGATTCAGACCACTCAACTTTTGGCGAGCAGTTCATAATGTATTGCAGTAACTCCACCAGGACTCCTTCCCTAACATATGTTGTTTTTAAGAATGATGGAATCAACTGGCACACATAGCAACCCTAAGTACAACAGAACAAAACCTTCCCTGATCCTTTGCCAGCCTCATAATCTTTGCTGTGTTTAATTAAGTCTGTTTTTTGCAGACTCTCAATTCATTCTGCCTTAAGCAGATATTCACTGGGAGCCTACTATTTGCCAGGCATTTGGAGCACTTTTGTTGTTCGAGATGACTGAGTTGACTATGAATCATTGAGATCCTATCTAGGATCAACAGATCTGAACCTTGCCCAATCCTGCGCCATCCTCATGATTTCTCATGCTCAAGCCTGCCGTGTCAATCCATCTTGTTGAGAGGCTCTCCAGAGTTCTAAAAAGCAAAAATGTCAGTTTAAAGACTGAAGTGCACCTCATCCAAGCCATAGCGTTTTCAATTGCTTCCTATGCATTTGAAATCTGGACAAGGAATTAAGAAGACCAAAAGAGATTTGATGCTTTTGAATTGTGATGTTGGAGCACATTAGTAAGCAGACTGACAAAAAAGCCTGCTTTCTGGGCATCTATGATCTAGCAGATTCCCAGAGTGATGTTTGTTGATTTTGCAAGGTTACAAATGAGGGTTGCAGTAAATAGGTGCAGATTTAGCAGGGGGTGTGTGTGTGTGTGTGTGGTCAGCCTGAAATGAAAAGGGCAGTGCCAAGAGATGGAACATCAACTTTCATTCAAGAGCCATTCAAGAAGTAATTGAGTCCCTACCATGTGCCAGGGTGCTCTGGTGGCTTACTGGTAAGAAATTGCACTGCCAGTCCCATGGCTGGTGGTTTAAGTTCACCAGGTACTCCACAGTCTCCTCATGTAGATTTGCAGCCTCTGTAAACCTGCTGGAGGGTCAGCTATTAGTCAGTTCCAACACAACCGCGTGTAACAACCACCATGTGCCAGGCACTCACTCTTCTGGGTGCCTGCCCTTTCCCTTTGGCCTTGTCATTGGATAAGGCCATTTTTCTTTAGGGACTGAAGCAGATCCTCTGGAGCAGGAGTCTCACAGAGACACAGAAATGGAATAGCATCTGCTTCATTACTAATTGCTTAATAACATTTGGCCATTTAATTTGCCTGGAGATTAGAGAGAATCCAGGTCGTCCAAACAGGACCAAGCTGTCGACTTATCACTACAGAGAATGCTGTTGCTCTGAGCCTCCCAACATCTCAGGGTTTTGTGTGTTTTGCTTTAGGATAAGAGGGCTTCTATGCCACCTTCCCTTCGGTTTCTCCCCCTTCGCCCGCATAGTAGCAGCTGTGATTGTGAGGCCAACACAGGCCCTTAGGGTGAGTCAAAGTTCTCGCGGGCCTTCTCATGAGCCCTCACCACGTCTTAACAGGGACAGCACAGCTGAAGACAATGTGGTCACCAAGAAGCCCTCCGCTATCTTCACAGCTCTTCTGGCCAGCATCTGTTCTGTTGGGAACGTCTGAAACCTAGTTTGTTGGAGAATTGGGCTGCCCTTTATGGAACTGAGTTTCCTTCAGCAGTGAATTCTCACTATTGCGTCCACAGCCTCAGAGCCTATACCACAATCCTCTGTTTCCCCCCTGGGCCATGTGAGTAAAGGTGCTGTTTTGAAAGTGCACTTTGCTTGTTTTGATTTTATTTTCTGGTGTTTTTGGAACAAGAACCTAAAGCCAGATGGGGGAATTTCTGTGGGATTGATGATCTTTAGACAAGTCTGTGAAAATATTACCCAAACTGAGATGTGAGGTTTTTGCCAAAGTGTGAGGTTTTTGCCAAAGAAATCTAGCCAGGCATCTACCTAGTATAGACACGCAAGCTTTTTTTTTTTTTTTTTAGATTTTTGCCCTGAAAGTTTTTTGTTATGTTGGGAACATCACGTTTTTAACTCTTGTCCTTTCTCCTAAAAATTGTGATAAAAACATATACAGCAAAAGCCATGGGTTTTTCCAACCATCCCCCCCTCCAGTTGTTTTCTGTTTGAAGTAACCCCCCCTCCCGTCTTATTAGTTTGTCCTTACCACTGGTGAGTCACACTTCTTTTTCATCCTTCCCAGTGAAGCAAAGTGCTTATTTCTGGGTTGGAATATGTATAGTCTGACTTCCCACTGTCATCTGAGAAGGATGTTAAACTTGAGGTCTACAGCTTCCCAAGAGAGATAGAGACAGGAGAATCTCACTGCCAGCAAAGGAGAAGCAGGCATACAATGGCAGGGCTAGAGATTCTTGTGCCAGCTAGACTTACAGCATCCGCCACCAAGGCTGAAGCAGAGGACCAGAGACCCAGCATGAGATGGAGCTCACCTTGGGTCCTCTACCCACCCACGGAGACAGAGCTAAGAGCCTTTGCCCAAGTTTGGTGGAGGATTGGAAGAG